ATGAATATTTTCAATTATATATATTATATTAATTAATTTTAAATTATACGTCATGATAAAATTTAATATAAATAAACTGTTTTCTTTATTCCTTAATTTTCCACCTTTAGGGTTGTTTCTTCACGTTTGAAGGGGACTAAACGGGAAGTTTTGTAAAACATACCCCCACACAATAAGACTTACCCATATTGAAAAAAAAACAAATTAGTTCATAAATATATATTATTATGTATTTATTTTGATATATATTAGTTCATAAATGACAGAGTTCTGAGATAATAAACATAAAAAATATACTTACATCCGAATTGATAGCATTCTTTGGAAGTCGGTTTAAAAACATATAAGAGTTATCATCATTATCAACTGTTGGACATAGGTCTCTTGTTAGGATGGAGATTTTGGTCTACCCTACACGCTGGTAGCTACCCTACCCTACCCTATACGGGTTGGTATAAGGTTTGTGTCAAGTTTTCCTTCTCAATGCAGTGCTGTTGTTTGCCACCTTAGTCGGCTCTAACACCCACGGGATGAATAGGTTACACTCCGTATTCTTAATCCGTCACCACACGGTCTCTTACCTTATTTCATAAGATATATTAATTACATATTTATTTAATTAAACATAATTCATGAATTATTTATATTATACTTGTAGTGAACAGACTATAATCTACTATACATGGAAGACGGTTGTCTTATTAATGCGAATTTTACAATATTCTTCTTGAGATAAAGAAAAAAAGAAATGATATCTCATATTATATTCTATAATATAATATGGATTTCAGGATTGTAGAAAAAAAAACTATTTTTTTATCTCGCGTAGATAATTATAATATTTATAAATAATTTGTAACCATATTTTGACTATTATTTTTTACACAAAATTCGCACAAATAAGCCAAATGATATCAAATATTTCGTTCGTATAAATACTTTATATACACTGGTTTCAAATAATTAAATTCAGTACTATTTTTACAAAAAAAAGACAAAAAAAAAACAATACAAAACTTTTTTCATAACGGAGTATTATTAAAATTATTTATTTAATATCACTTCCATACGCTAACTAAACAAAAATTGGCGGGTGATTGTACAATGTACATGGCTATACTTAAAAAAAATATAATTGAAATCTAACAAAATCACAACTAATAAAATGAAAAAAAAAAAAGGAATTTCATGTATTTTAGCTGTTGTGTAAATCAGGATTAAAAAAGCTAGTAGTTAAATTATAAATAAAATAGTTTCACGACATACTAATATATGCTTTCGACAGTCCACGCACCAGAATCAAAACGAAATATCAAATCAAAGTGCTTTTCATTAAAGCGGAACAGTTATAACAGTTATTATAGATAATCCTTACTCCAAAACTATAAGTTCCAGGTGCCTTCTCACAAAACAAAATACTACTCGATGCCACAAAGTAATTAATGTCATGAATATTTTTATATGAGTCCGCTAAGGATTGTTATCTAAATCAGAAGTTGGCCTTCTGATTCTCGTTATGAAAGTTAGGTTAAAACTCAGTACCGATCAACTCTCCATCTCACAAATTTCAAAAAAGGTATATTCGTAGTTAAATAGTAAAGTGTTACTAAGACTAGCAGAATACAGATTCAACTTTCGGTCACAATACGATATAATCACATTACAGTCAACGTTAAATGTTGTGACATACGTGAGATCGGGAGTACCTACATCGGAACTGAATTTTGATGGAATATTTATAACGTGAATTGCCCTTCAGGTCACTAAGTACAAATATCACGACCGAATTTCGATTTACTCAATGCTTGTGACAAATACGAATATAACTAACGAGAAATCATCATCAAAATATAGGTACGAAACTAAATATGTCCTTCCGCTTCTAATTATAAAATGTTCTGTCAAAATCGGCCATCCGTAATTTTTTATTGTAAGGTCGTAATAATGGTTGCCAGTATGTTCTATAGCAATTCAGTTCAGTCTTTCTGAGAACTATTTTTGAAATATCAAGGTGTTATTTGAATTACTGTTTTAATGGTCTAGTGGTTAGTGACCTTCACTGCTACGTCATAGGTTGTGAGTTCGATTCCCACACATGACAAATAATTGTGTTATGAGCACGGTCATTTGTTCTATGTATGGGTATGTATTTAGAAATATATATGTATGTTTATCAGCAGTCTGGTTACCATAGTACAGGCTCTGCCTAGTTTGGGATCAGACGGCGGTGAAATGTGTGAGAATATAAAAAAAAATTTTGCTTGTTAAGTCGGGAATCTCAGGTATTTAGGTATGCTATTCTTGTAATTCTGATGCGTATTTCTGTCGGAGTATGCTTAACCCATACGTATGATAGCACAGCCGTAATACACCATTCAACATTCGTCTCTCAGTAAACACGATGTTCAACAAAGTCTACTTACTTATAATAGTACTTACTACGAGTAGGCAAGTTAGGCAGAGCTATGCTAAGTGTAAACTTTATTAACCGTAGTTATTGCGTTTATTATTTTACTATTAACCTAATAAGATGTAACCTTTGTAATAATAATAAAATAAAAATAAATGTGTTTCTTTGAACACTTCAGACACAGTGGATCCGGATACCGGATAACTAACCGGATAGCTATCCGGTATCCGGAGAAATTGGGTAGTGATTTACCCGTTAGGAATACGTTACTCAGGAATATAATCAAACTATAACCATAAATAATTTGTTATACTATTAACGTGTATATTTCGGAGATGCTTGTCGCGTCTCGCGACAGATCGTGTCACCCCTTGACATACGACCCCTGTTGGATCCGTCACTGGGGACGATTTGTTAGACTACACTAGTTAAGTCATGTGTTATGCTTTTGATATATGCTTTAGTTATTTATGTCGATATTTAAACAAATATACTAACACTAAAACAATTGTTCTTCTCCTAAATACAATACAATCACATAAATATAATTATTTATATCAATTTAATAATAAAAATAAATAAAAACCACTGATATGTGTGCTAATCGACACAGAAGCATCATTCTCAATAACTTTCTTGTATACAGCAAATATTTAACAATAAAATAATGTATTTTTGTACATTGGTAAATATAGGATCATTGCTGTTTGAATAATTCGATTTTTTTTCGGTGTAAGGAGCTCCGCCTCCTCCTTACACCCAGACATTATCGCTGTGGTTCGGTTTGCTAAGTTCACTAGGATACGACACAATATACTTTGGTTATTTGAACGCCATAGTCATATATAAGTCCAATCAGATTGCAAGCTTTCGTACGAAACGATAATTTATTGTCATTGAACCGTCACTATTTTCTTAATGCGAATGGATTGAATGATAATGTTATCTTATCATCCAAGTAACACATCCATTACTTTAGACAAAGAAACAAAACATCTTCGTTTGTCACGTAAATGTGGACAATGTCTAACCTTGAACCAATATACAAAAAGTCATTATACACTATTTACTTTATTTAGGCAATTACTTCTAAACTAGTTAATTTGTCATTTCTTCTATTATCTCTGCACATACATTTACTTTATATATTTCTTATTTATCATTTTTAAATTGTCTATGAACCCAAATGAATTATTTTCTCCTCTAAACAAAATTAGAAAAAAATATATAATAAGGCTTTTTAAATATGTGTGTCTGTGGTAGTTAAGTAAAATTAATTTTACTTTAACCAAAGAGTATTTGAGAACAGTACCTATATAATTATTAGTAGGCATAAAAAGGTTCTGATATTTTAAAGGAGGTCCAGACCAAACTGATTCTCTTTGCATTTTTTGTTTCTTTGTTTATGAGATTCCTACCTCTCTGTCACATATGACCATTTAATTCTGTTACAACTTAGAGTGCTTAATTATACATAATGTCAGCTGGTTTTATTTATGCTTGCTTATAACATATATTATTATTTATATTATATTATAATATATATTATTAATTGGATTTGAGAGCACACTTATATTTGAGATCATGTATCATAGATAAAGACAAATATTTATTAACTATTCAACTAATCTATCTATAGAGATAAATAGATTAGGAAAGTCATACAAACTGCCATGATCTAGTAGTCTATGTCCACAAGGCATAGAAATTATTACAATATTATAATAAAAACGAGTTCTTTTGTAAGCTTTTTATCCTCAGAGAGACTTTGTTGCGTGGATTTCCTACTCTATCTCATAATGGCTATTTCATGTGTACTTTGGCTAGAGGTGTTCTAATGGTAATTTTTTACAAAACTATATGGAATGCATTTATTAATGTACTATCTGTTTCAATTAGATTTTTCATTGCACTGTGATAGTTGTCATGGGTTTGTCGACTATCTGAAATACAAAATGATTTATTTTAAATACAGAATACATTAAAGCAACCGACGAGCTACAGCCTGACAGTTCACCTTTCATCTAACAGTCAACTAGCACCGCGCGCTCATTGGTCAAATCAAATAGCGCGCGCTTCCCCGGCTACCTGTTACATATTTCCGTCCCTTTTCACGAAATCACTCCCATAGATCGCAGGAAGTGAGTTAAAATATGTTATACAACAATAATGGGAATTGTCAAGAGCCTCTTAAATATTTGTGCTAGTAGTTATGAGCTGTAGTTTTGCTTGCTAACAGACGAGAGAGAGACCATTATATTGAGATTGTGTTAATTATACCTTGATGATTACTGTAAATTTTGTTAATCTAGTACAGTTTTTTTTTATGGTAAGCAACTATAGTCGCCCATGGACACCTGCAACTCAAAAGTCACAAGTGCTTTGGCGCCCTTAGAGTCCCATCAAAAACAGTTTTTTCTCTTGAATATAATAATTGAAAATACCAAATCTTGTAGATATAACTGGCTCATGTATTGCAAAGAACAGACCTTATGTCAACAGGCTACGAAATTTCTTAACAATTTTTGATACCTATAAATTAACTTTTAGCACAAAGGAAAACATAAAATACCTGTGTTATTTGAGAACATCAGTATCTTTGCTCGGGCGAGTGGTTATCCCTCGCGCGGCCAACGCCCGCCAGCCGCTCGCACACGGCTTCCAGTTGCGCGTCCAACATCAGAGATGCTATCTGATCGTCTGTTAGCATCTCAACGCTGCAAAAGAAATTAAAAAGTAAAAAAAAACGTACTACCATTAATATCCATAGCATTCTTTGTATGGTTTTCAGACCCCCTCCCCCCCAATGTCAAGTGAGATTTTTTATAATGTGTTATTACCTAGCTAGACTATCAGTGGCGGAATATCGTTTTAGACGTACCTAGCCAGACTATCAGTGTCGGAATATCGTTTTAGACGTAACTAGCCAGACTATCAGTGTCGGAATATTGTTTTATACGTACCTAGCCAGACTATCAGTGTCGGAATATCGTTTTACGCGTACCTAGCCAGACTATCAGTGTCGGAATATCGTTTTACGCGTACCTAGCCAGACTATCAGTGTCGGAATATCGTTTTACGCGTACCTAGCCAGACTATCGGTGTCGGAACATCGTTTTACGCGTACCTAGCCAGACTATCAGTGTCAGAATATCGTTTTATACGTACCTAGCCAGACTATCAGTGTCGGAATATCGTTTTACGCGTACCTAGCCAGACTATCAGTGTCGGAATATCGTTTTACGCGTACCTAGCCAGACTATCAGTGTCGGAATATCGTTCTATACGTACCTAGCCAGACTATCAGTGTCGGAATATCGTTTTATACGTACCTAGCCAGACTATCAGTGTCGGAATATCGTTTTATACGTACCTAGCCAGACTACCAGTGTCGGAATATCGTTCTATACGTACCTAGCCAGACTATCAGTGTCGGAATATCGTTCTATACGTACCTAGCCAGACTATCAGTGTCGGAATATCGTTTTATACGTACCTAGCCAGACTATCAGTGTCGGAATATCGTTTTATACGTACCTAGCCAGACTATCAGTGTCGGAGTACCGCTCGTCGCTCGCGGACGAGTGCGCGCGGGGCGAGGCGGCGCGGCGCGGCGTGCGCGGGGCCGACGACGAGCCGCGACGCTCGCCGAATAGCGACAGTCCTGGTAATAAACAAAAAAATTGGTTGCCTGTAAAGTCGGTATACGGGCGAAAGTTTTACGTGACAACGACTTTGAGTGGTAAAATAATTTTGGCGGGCTAACTGTGCTCGAGTGGAAGGGACGCGTGCCTTTCACTTTTTATGTCTGTCTCTCTCGCTCTTAGGCGGGCTAACCATGCCCGAGTGGAAGGGAAGCGTGCCTCTCACTCGCTCTCATTGTGAGCGCATAACGTGAGCGGAGCGTAACGCAGTTCCTTGAAGTGTCACCCGGCAAACCAATTTATAAGACGTTGTCACGTCAAAAACTTATTTTAAGCAACAGTTTATTCAATAATACAAAACGTGATTAACTTAAACAAAATTGTAAGACTAGAATATATAGAATATTCTAAACCTTTCAAAATATCTATCAGCTATCTATGGCGCCTCCAGGTCTACGATCAATGTGTAAGCCAAGATATCTCACATGGTCACTGTGGGGCAAAATACATTGGCACAACTTTAAAGGTAGGCAGTCTCCTTTTCTAAGGGTAAATGTCACCTGTACTTACTGACAGCACTAGCTTTTATTTTCCATTTTTGGAGCCATTCATTTACTTTGTTAAGGACCTTCTGGAAGTGCTGTGATTAGATGTACAATCTAATTGATCAAAATTATCTAATGTATTACAACTCAAAAAATAAAGCAAGCACTAAATAAAGGGATGTTAATTTTGCTAGTTAGAAGGAGTAGTATGAACTTTATTATATGGCTATTATTACGGCAATCGCTCCCAAAATGACGTATGACATTCTATGCTTTAAAAAATCATGACTTACCTTGGAACATTTCTTTGACCTTCTCCCCGGTATCGTGGAGTAGCACGTCCAGGCTCTGTCGGCGCGCGTGCTCGGGCATGGGCCGCGGGAGGGGGAGTGGGAGGGGCGGCATGCGGCGCGGGGCCGTGATGATGCGGCGCGGGGACGCGGCCGACGCGCGGGACTCCACGGGGCTGGGCGGGGACCACTTCTCTGGCGTCGAGCGAGCACGAAGAGAACATTTCTCGAAGCTAACCTGGAAATCAATTTAGTTTTGAATAGAGATGTCGAACATCATCTTCAGAATACAGAAGAATTATATATACGAGTATTAAGATTATTCATTTCATTATCACGTATTTTACGATAATATTTTTAACCCAAATAAAGAAGAATCCATACTGATGCTATAAAGCTGAAAAGTGTGTTTGTTTGTTGGGTTGAACGTCTTAATGCCAGAAATGGCGATGCCTTATATTGGCGATTTAGAATACCTAGCTGATCTCCTCAACTTCGTCCGCGTCTCTATAGGTAAAAATCGTTCTTAATGAATACGCAAATATAAGAACCAACCTCTTCAGGACTGGAATAGTCCAGGTCTATCTCAGTCCAGGTGTCAGAGCCATCGGGCAGCCCCCTGGGTCTTTGAGCGTCAGCGGCTCGCCGCAGCCACTCCCTGACACTGGCTTCGGTGCTGTTCTCGCACAACTCCTCAAGTTTGTCGCTGTTAGTAGTGTTCGTGTCGCTCGCCGTGTCGGTTATCGTGGATTGATCTATGTCTGAGGGCCACATCAATTTAAAGTAATTTAAAGACTAGTTAGCAAGCGATGTGTATCGACTAAAATACTAATAACTAATATGTTTGCCTGTAAAAAATTACAATAAAATAAGGCTGTCAATTGTTAAAGTCTCCTTACATTGTTGTATATTTTGGTGTAGTATCGAAGTTTGTAACTTTTCATTTTTAAAGATATTTTATGTAGGTGAGTATTGTAAGTATTTTATTCACATTTGTCTGTCACTCAACATTTTTTAACTGGTCATTCATAAGAAAAACACTCTTAGTATCAAAAGTAAATCTACTAATCCACGCTAAACCTTTTTTTATCGTGATGGAAAGAGACTACCGTTGCCCATGAACGCCTGCAACTCAGGAGTTACAAGCGCGTTGCCGGCCTTTGAGGATGATTACGCTCTTTTATTGAAGGTCGTATCGGTCCGGAAATACCGCAGACGATATCTTGTTCGACAGATTGGTTGTGGCAAAAAGTGTCTTGAAAAGCGCACAGTGGTGAAGTACCAATCATTTAAGTGGTGAGGATGAAAATTTTGCCGTGTGGAACGATGGCGGAAAGTTGCGGTATTAGTCCGGACAATTCCTTGGAGCACTCTCTATGAAGCATACGATAAAGAATGCAGAGCGAAGCTACATCTCTACGTAACGCCAAGAGATCGAGCCGGTCGGAGATCTTTTGGCTATCGTGGATTCGAGTCGCTTTTCGTTGGATACGATCCAGAGGGAGAAGCTGGTGCTGGGGTGACCTTGCATAGAGATGAGAATAGTATTCCAAATGCGCCTGGACTTGCGCCTTATAGAGTTGGGGGGCGGTGGGCCCGGAGTGAAATACTGCCTCGATCTGTTCAACACACCGAGCTTCTTCGATGGCAATTTGACCTTACCCTCTAAGTGACCCCGAAACCGGACCTCGCTCGATATATCGATGCCTAGGATTCCAATACTGGCTGAGGCAGTTAGGGAGGTGCTCTCGAACCGAAGCGATATGCAAAATGGTATCTTTATTGCGGTGAAACTTCTTCGGTCTTCTCGCAAACCAGTGTCCTTTTTGGGTTAAAATGGAGTAGGTTCAGTCGACAGCAATCGGAAAACCCCGCTAAGGAAGTTTCTAACCAGCTGCGACTGCGCATACAGTTCGTCTATTGTTCGAGACATTAAATTACGTGTCGATTATTTTATAACGACGTTTTATTTCACCGTAGCGATAGCTAGGATACGATTAATATATGGTCCATATGTTGATTGTATCTGTCAAGTGATCGCCTAAGATGTGGGTTTATCCTAGTTCAGGCAGGCAGCGATTAAAGTTTTAGATCTAAATTTTATTATATACCCTTGTAAAATCATTTAGAAGTACGGCGGCATATGGCGAATAAAATAACAAATTTGCAAATTACTATTTAAAGGAGGGAACTTTTTGTTTGTATCGGCTAATAATTGCATTGCTTATAGTCGGTATGCAATAAATTAGAGTCAATTAGAATCAAAGAGTTTTCATACCATTTTTAGCAGACTGTCTTCGAGAGCGATGTTTGTGTATTTCATCAGAGATGCGCTCTAGATTCCTCAGAGCTGACGAGTACTGTTGCTTAGCTTCCGACACCTGTTCTTCCAACGTGTGGATTCTGGCTTTCTGAGCTTCTAGTGCTGTGTTAATCCGGGCTTTCTCTTCGAAGTAAGGTCTGGAAGAGAGACAGTAATATCTATCTAGTATGTCTGGAAATTATCCTTGACATTCACAATTAACGACCGAACGGCGTAGTGGTTTGTGTAACGGACTGCTATTCTAAAGGTCGCGGGTTCGATTCCCGCTCAAGTCAAACATTTGTGTGCATGAACTTTTAATGTTTGACTTGGTCTGGGTGTTTCTATGTATAATGTATGTATGTATTTACAAAAAAAAAGTATATATATTTATATCAGTTGCCATAGTACAAGCATTGCTTAGTTTGGGACTAGATAGCGTTGTGTGATTGTGGTAGAAGATTATTATATTATTATTATTACAATTATTAAAGAAATAGAGGGTTATTAGCGCAGGGCCTTTTTAACTTCGACGTTCTATGTGAAGACACAACTCCCAGCATAACATTATGGCGTATTAATGTTTCATTGGGAGGTGTATTAGTACACCTCCCAATGAAACATATAATGCTGCACGGTTAGCGTAGTAGTTTAAGCGGTCACCGCTTCCTAATGCGTTAAGTGTTGTGGGTTCGATCCCCACATGGGACATTACTTTTGTGATCACAAATTGTTGTTCTGAGTCTTAGTGTTCTTTGTATACGTTTCATGTATGTTGGTGAAGTCCCCCGCGACACAGAATTATATTCCTAGAGCGGCAGTAGTCTTTAAAAAAAAATGCTTTACATGAGAGTATCACTAATTGGTCTAAAAATTGTGAAATTGATAACCTCAATTTTCTTTTTTCATCCGTTAGTTGACAACGTTACGATTAACATATTTCATTTCAACACGGATCCGTTCATGGGAACATTGTTAAAAAAAATGACAAAAATGGTTTATCGCCTTTTACAAGAAAACTTCAAATCTTACAAAGAAAGTGTAAATGTACGAAAAATGCGAAATAACAAAATGAGACTTGTAGAGGATGTGGGGTTTGTAGCCTCCAGTTAGCTTACAAAATTTCGGTAAGATCTGGCTGATCAAGGCTGTAAACTTTTTAGAAAACTTAAAAAAAAAAGCTGACAAAAAGGCCTTCGGGAGAATGGCTCTAAATATTTTTGAGACGACTTGGAATGAATTTTCAAAAACGCTTTTGTTCATCGAGACTTCCTCTACACCACGTGATAAAATTAAGTAGAAATACTGAAAAAAAACGATTTACACCAATCGCAAATTTGCGCTCCGGCCGGTAGTTAGTGGGCGCCCGAAGGCGTTCGAAGACAACAATAGAGGTCATTGTGTTGCCCTCTAGTGCCTTTAGGCCCGAAGGACTTTTTTTCAGTTTTTTTTTTAATTTTGTAGGCTAACTGGAGGCTACATAACCCACATCCTCAAGAAATTTGGAGTCTTAATATTAATTAGAACGCGAGTTATAATGTTGTTTAAAAATGGAAAAAAAAACGCGGTATTTTGCAATTTGCAAAGAAACTATTCAACCAATTATTGGGACTCTCTCTCATTTTGTTTTTCTTTTTATTGCGCATTTTTCGTACATTTACACTTTCTTTGTATGATTTGAAGTTTTCTTGTAAAAGGCGATAAACCGTTTTGCCAGTTTATGACATTTTTTTTAACAATATTCCCATGAACGGATCAGTGTTGAAATGAAATATCGTAACGAAATGTAAAATCGTAACGTTGTCAACTAACGAATAAAAAACCGGTCAGGTACGTGTCGAACTCGTGCGCCAAGGGTTCCGGGTTCCGTACCTACCTAGATTTTACGTAGATTTTTTTACGAAAATTTGTAAGTACCAAAATTTATCTTAATTTTCAACTTTTTTATTTTTTGGAATTATTCCTTTATTTGTGCTGCAAGACGTTTCTTTTTGCCAATTTTCGTAATTCTAGGTCAACATGAAGTACCATATAGGTTTTCGACCCAAAACCTATAGAGTACTTCCGGTGGACCTAGAATTGACAATTTTGGTTAAAAGCAAGGTCTTACAGCACAAGTAAAGAGAAAATTCTGATCTATAAAAAAAGTTGAAAATTAAGGTAAATTTTGGTACTTACAAGTTTTCGCGAAAATCGAAATTTGCCCATATCTTTTTATCGTGTTGACTCAGGACCTTGATTTTTATCCACCTAATAGGGACAATAGTCCTGAGTATCTGGTACAAATTTCAAATTGCTAGGTCTACCCTTTCCTGAGAAAATCAATGGTAATACACGGACAGACGGACAAGAAAGTGATCTTACAAGGGTTCCTTTTTTACCTTTTGAGGTACGGAACCCTACAAAAGAAAATGGAGGTTATCAATTTTATTCGTGATTCGCTAATTCTATCCGACTACAAGTAATCTATTTCCACCTCTTTGTATTTTATTTTTGTTTTATTTTATACGGGGAGCTTACATCTATACTACAAATACATCAGTAATTTAGTTAATGAAATGTCAATAACAAGCTTACACAGATACACTAAAAACATTCTACTAAAGTTATATTCCAAGTGAATAATTAAAAATGTAAATACATAAATGAAAATTCATGCAGTGCCAAAGTTCACAATTCGACATGTAGTTATGTTATAAAGGTAACACTATCAACAAATCTGACAGTTAGATATGACCTAGTACCGCCAAAAGATTAAAACCGCTGTCACTATTTGGTTTGTTCAATTCAGTATGTTCAATGACAATACTTTTACTTAAATAATTGTAGAAAACATGCATTATGTAACAACATGCAGTTTGAAAACATCTGTTCCGTTACGGTAGTGCATTCAACCAATACCTTAGAGATCGTTGGTTCGATAAAAGTCCAGAAGGTCAATTCTCGTAATAAAAGTTCGGTCACAATTCAATTCCGATTCCGATTCCGGCAAATATTTGTATGCATGAATATGTCTACTTTTATCTCTGTGCCGTTGCCAAACGTTTTTAAATATTTTTTACTTTATATTGTTTACAAATTTTATTTTTCTAGATTTCTCCTACATAATTTGCAGATTCGATCCCCACGTGGGAGAACACTTAGTGTAATTAACCATCTAGTGTTGACTGCACGGATGGCGGAGTGGTTTAAGTCGCCACGCCGCTTTCTATTACGCCGAGTGTTGTGGGTTCAAACCCCACATGGGACGACACTTTGTGTGATCCACAAATTGTTGTTCTGAATCTGGGTGTTCTTTGTGTCATTTCATGAATGTTTTTCAAGTCTCGTTTATTAAGTATTGTCTTTAATAAAAAATTAAAACATAAATATTATATGATATGATTTCGTTAGTAGGCCACGTTCATTTAAGAAAGAGTAAGAAGAATTCTTAGATTTAGTAATCTTAGAAGATTACAGCTTAGAATATATTATGTACTTACATATATGTATTGAGAAAAAAGAACGTATTCCAGTATGTTTATATAAAATAAGCAGCATAAAAAGATGTTTGTCTTTATTCTGTACAGCCGTTTCTAGCTTCCTTCTTAAAAAAAAGAAGTAAAGACTGCTCGGATGGCGTAATAGTTTAAGCGGTTACCTCACCGCTTCCTACTGTGCTAAGTGCAGTGGGTTCGATCCTTCGATCTACATCAATTTGTGTGTTCCACAAATTGTCGCTTGGAATGTGGGTGTCCCTTGTGTGTATTTCATGTATGTTTGTAAAGTCCGCCGCGACACAGGATTTATATTCCTAGTGCGGGTGTTGTATTTTTTTAAGAAAAAAAAACATGGAGAAAATACTTGTTCAAATAACCCCAGAAGTTTCGAAGATCAGAGATTTGAACCAAAAAAGAAATTCTTTAGTTTTATTACTGGTATAAATTATTTATGAAAGCGGCCATTTCCGCGTTGAAAGTGAAAACATTTTTAGTTATTGTAAAGGACTTAAAATAACCTCGGAATTCAATTGAATTTAATTAACCTTAAAACATGTATAGGCATAATATACACGACATATACAATATACATACTAACACTGGGTATTCAATAAAAATGTATCTAAGCATCTGTACCTTAGCTTTTTATTGTCAAATTGTTTTTGAAGTGAAAAGTTCTTTAATCGCGTTGGGCATTTTTGAACAACAAATAAAATAATGTATTTTTTGAGATAGGAAAAACCATTGAATTCGCGACACTGTTACCGTTACCGACACCTCTGTATATAAGTATCTACATTTATTGGCCCCGTTTGCACAAGAGTTGAGTTTGTCAAGCAATTCTTTCGTCGCTTTTCACTGAGTGAATGAGGTAACCGAAACCCAAACCCCTGCTCCTCTTGATTCTGGCGGGAAGACTCAAAGGACGCAAAAGCACTTGTCACTGTTGAGTCGCAGGTGCCCTTGGGCGGCTGTTGTCACCTACCATAGACTGAATAGATGGATGGAATAGACAAAATCACAGTGAACCGTAAATGAACAGTGAATTATCATTCGATTTTTTCGTACGTAGGTTAGGGTTTTTACTTACTCACGCGTTGTTGCCAATAAGCTGTTTTCAGACGATGCATAAAGACCCTATTTCGCCTATTCAACAGTAAATCTAGTAATTATTTTTTATATATAGCCACAATTCCCTACATAATAATTAAAAAACTAGATTTACTGTTAAAAAGCGTCTAACCTACCTACCTAATCTACCCTACGTACGCAAATATGTTGAATTAAATAAGCTTTTAAAAAGTTTAACCAGGTGACAGCATTGTCTATGACTCTCCACATTACTATTATTGTACATCGTGTTCTTGCTGTGCAGTTGAAGAATAAAAGTTTTCATATTCAATTAATTACCATCTTTTAATTGATAAAAACACCCATAACTCTTTAAAATATCTAATGATAATCGAATTGTCTGTTATCTAGCGTGTACCGTCTCCCCTTTTACCCCCGACCCCCCTATACCATAAAAAGAATGACTGAAATATATACAGGCTGGACTTTATATACACGCTGTGATGCTGTTTTGAGTCAGTCTAGTTTTGTCATAAATCGAGTAAACAAGTGCAAAGAGTAGCGAACAAAGGGCCGTTTGGTGAAGAGTTTAGTGCGGACCAACCACAACGCCGAACGCGCCGATGATCGAGTAGACGTGATATAAGCTTACCCTAGGCTCTCTGTATACGCTAGATCAGTGATCATTGTTATTAATAACATATCATTATGTTTATTGTAATTTTTTCATGTATAATTCGGTGTATTCATTTAATCACGAACCCCACCTTCTAAAAATGTACGTATACCAACACAGCGTGAGGCCCGAACCCGCAACCACTTTGCTGATCTGACGCTTTAGCGACGGTACCACCAATATTCCTTCATGTCTATGTGTTCTAGATCATTCTAAATGCAGTATGCACTACTATAGCTAGCTACATATTAGCTAATTCTTAAAACGCCAATGTCACATATATGTGACACCAAAACAATCTCTCAGTATATGATTGGTTGTTTCGTGAAATGATGAAATTTTTGTCACAAATAGGGGACAATGGCGTTCATGGGATAAACAAGCATGCATAATAAAAGTGTAGGTACCAATGTTATCGAGCAAGTGCGGCGGTCGGCGCAGCGCCTGTGGAAGAGATGTGCTCTAGTCAAGCGAAACTGTGCGGTATTAAACGCATTTATGTACAGCCAAATGCTACGTCCGTACTAATAATAACGTTATTTATAAGGGAATCAATTTAAAAGAAATTATCATATCGGCGTAAAGGTTATATAGTAAATTTAACGTCATGACACAACCTTTAGGAGCGGAGCAGTGACCAAAAATGAGTCTAAAACTGTAGGCAAGAACTTGTTAAGTAATTTATTGAGTAAAGAAAAATGGTTTACAAATCTGATTAGGTGTTTATTTTTTAAACTTTATTTATAGTTGTTTGAGTATTCACTGTAAGAAACAGATTCGTCTAATCATATAGTTATTGTTTAAATTCTATACATCTTAACGTAATGTTAATTAACATGTAACCCGCCATAATAAAAGAGATAGAAACACAATAAATATAACAAATATCTGTAAATCGATTTTAGCATTTGACTGTACAATAAATAAATTTACTTTTATTAGTTTTAGAAAAACATTACTAAGCTTATACACACTAAATACGAAGAAAAATAATTCAAAGACAGTTTCATACAGTATAAAATAATACTACTTCAAATTTTTTGCATTACAAGCATTAATATTTTAATATCAGCCAATTACGAAGCTTTACAAATCGTTCTCAAATAAATTTTTAAAGAGCTTAGTGTAGTCTAAAAATTAGGCAAATCGGCGAAAAAACTATCGGGATCTACAGCATGGATCTGTTCTTAAGTATGATTTATCATATTGCAAAACGAAATTGGCATGTCCGGCTATTATACAGCAATATTGATCCTTAGCTGGTGTAGATCCCACACTAACAAAGTATAAAAGGCAAACATGAATTTTAACATTCAGTTGCTTGAACAAAGTCTAGTCGGAATTGTCTAGTTTGTCTGTCACTAACTAACGTGTAAAGTATCTCATTGAGCTATTTACAAATAAATCATTCTCTCAATCATTCATGCGTACATACATCAATCTTTACATTCATTCATTCCTAGACATCTTATATTTTAAACTGAATTCTGAAAAGTTTGTTTATTTCGTCAATCTATACAGTTGCATTTGCATTAAGGTTTATGGAGAAGGCTGATAAAAGGAGGAAGGTGGCGGGAGGGGTCATATCAAGTCAAAAGATGCGTGTACCTGGACTTGGCGATGTGTCGCTTGAGGGAATTCTGGAGCTGCTGTACGAGCGCGGCAGCGGCGCGGTGCGCTGCCGCGCGGCTTCGGTGCGTCACCGACGTGCTGGCGCGGTCCAGCTCCGCCTGGCGCACGCACACAAACGCAAATATACTATATGCTAGAGATCTTCATTAGTTTTACGCCGGTTTGTCCTTCACTGACTCCTAAACCGAGAAAATGGGATCTATGTGACTGCATATATATATATATTTTTAGGTGAATAGTTAGTCACACACAAGGTCACGCATTACTAGTGTTCATGTTAACTTCTAAGACTTACCTTGTCTGGAGGAGGAATGAGTTCACGTCGGTAGTGTACTGAGTAGGGTTTAATCCCAAATGGTTACGGGTTTAAACCCAAATCACATGTACTATACCTTAGCCAGTACACTTCCTTCGTTTACTTAATTGCCTGTAAGCTATGTAACAACATACTCGTAATAAAGGCATCCGGCTCGAAGGACCAAACTACTTAGTCATTAACAGTGTTCGGTTAGATCTAGAACTGATTAATAACGCCTCTATATTTAATTTGTTGCACCGTTTATTTTTAACACAAACCAGATCTATTTATTTTTAAATGCAAAATATAAACATACTGCTCTTTTATGGTGAAAGCGTCTATCTTAGAACTCACAATGTTCCACAATAAATTATATGAATATGTATCTTTTCGATGACATACCTGATTGACTCTATGCGTGGCATGGTTGAGCATCTCCTGCCAGGCAGGGTCGAGCGTGACTCCGGAGCTGCCCTCAGCGAGACGCGCCAGCCCCTGCTCCGCCAAGTAAACCATTTCCCGAGCCGCTGCATGGGCGCTGTTGGCTTTATCATAGGCCAAGGTTGCGGCCTGGAGATCTTGGGAAGTCTGTTCAATGAAACGTTTCACAGTACAGACTTCTCGCCCTTCCAGTCGTCTTTACCGGCTACTTTTTACCGCGATAATTAACATAAACGCGGGCAGAGCAAAGAGTATCAATCATTCAAAGAGTAAAACAAGATACAATAACTTACAATATTAGCTCTAAATCTGGCTTCATAGTAAGGCCGCGCCTTGTGCACGCTGGTGCCTAGCTTCTTGGTTAGCTGTTGTATCTTCAGATGGCCCTCAGCCAGAAGCCGTCTAAACGCTAGCCGTGCTTCGTCGAGCTCTACTTCAAGACGGTTGATCTCGTCTGTCGCTGTGTTCAGGCGTTCTAGTTCGATCTGGTGAATTGAGTTAAATGATTATCATATCATCAAATCAAATCAATCAAAAATTACCTTCTGTACAATACATTTCATGACATCAAATTGCATTTATCTTGCAAAACATCAACAAAGTACGATAATACATAATGGTGCAGACCAAACAAACAACAAACAGACGGTAGTGTCCAAAATAATATCAGACTCTGAACTAGTGTAACCACTCCCCGAAACTTCCTCATTACTTTTTTTTTCCGACAACTTTTACATTTGAAATATATTCTGTGTCGCGGGGTACTTTACACACTTGTTATTACAAGCTGCAACGACTAGGAGAACTTCGACATGTGCCATGAGGTTGTCGCTCGACACGAAAAGCACAAGACTGCTCAAAGGCACTAGCCCAAAGGGAATTAATTATTAAAAGACTTGTTAAAACAAGGTGTATTCCAGTTCTTTTTCATGTTTACCTTTAATTCCATCAAGTAAACAATTTAGCAACGATGGATAGTCCTCAACAAGGTTTATTCCACTGTGTTCACCTGGGTGAAATCACCCAGCTGAACAAAGTAGTATAAAAGTACACAGGTGATTAAAAAAAGGTCGCCTTTGTTCACTTGGGTGAACCCATTCCAAGGTGAATAAAGACCTCCACTTATGTCGATTTTTTCACCTGATATCACTTGGGTAAAATTCTTCCATGGTGTAATGAGGAAACCAAAAAATCTACGTCATTTAACTGAGTGATATCACCCAGGTGAACATAGTGGAAGAAACCCTCAGAAGTCTAAGAAATAGGCTACAAAAGATGTATTTTCTTATGTTTTATTATTCTTTCATGCATTGCGTTGAGTACATGCCATGTCCACAATTTGTAGAAAATAAGTTTGTTAATAAGCTATGACAATACAAGACCAGAAGACTAGTAATGGATTGACAAGCTACAGGTCTTACCTAACTTACTTTTAAAACAGATTCTTTTTTTACTAACTTTTAAATTGTTGCATTCTAAATAATATAATTATGTTTATGTTAGGCAATTCAAAGGTATCTACTCAATTCCCGTAAACATAATTATATTAGTTTTACTGATGTATTATCGGAGTGGTGACGGATTAAGAATATGGAATGTCACCAATCCTATTTATCTGTGGGTGTAAGAGCTGACTAAGGGAGCAAACTACGCAGGATACCAGCACTGCAAATTGAAGGAAAACTTAAAACAAACCCTATACCAATCCGTCTGGCCAACATGGTATACTATACCACAAAACCTCCTTTCTAAGGCACTCTCTAGGCCACTGCCTATGTCCAGCAGTGGTGATGGGATGTGATGATTCTATTCTTTTTTTATTCTATTCATTGAAATTTAGTACTTATAATAGTAGCTCATTACTTTTGAAAGCAAACTATTAAAGAAAACCAAGGTTTTATTAAACACAGTGATTGTTTATAAGTTCTCGCGTACAACCTGACATTGCACATTTATAGATGGAGTAATACTTTTGTAAGATAAAAATTCTTAATATATATTGTTTACCATAATTTCAAATATCAATGGACACCTTAATAATACTCCATACAACTTATACACTACACATATTGCTTCCTACCATACCTTTTACATTACATATCAACTGATTATGTCATTCATAAAAATAACAATATTTTTTTTTTTGTAGAATAAATATGCAAAGTTCGAACAAAGAATAAAACACTTTCTATTTTTTTAAACTGAATGTTATATAGCTAACAAAACACCAATCAAATGTGTAGTTATACTTTAAGAAGTGCTACGTACAATTGAATTACGAAAGTAATTATAAATGTAAAAATATGTTAATTGTGACAGACATTTCACAAGCGTTGCTTCGTAACCTAAATACCATGGTACTATTTATATATATTATTATATTTATTAACAATTAATTTATTAGACATAGACATTAGATACATTTAAGTAAAAAGCTTTTGGGGAATCTGTAAAAAGAATTACACAAGAAAACAGCGGCAGAGTAATATAGAGTGACGGACTTGTTTTTATTTAATAAATGTTCAACAGCCACCCGGTGCATTATCAGTGTGAAAACCACTACCAACACAAGTACTAAGCTTATCTGAAGGGATCAATGAGGGTCTGAGAATACTAATAATTTGGAACTGATTTTACGAGTATTTGTTTGAAACATAAAACACCCATCACAGTTGGCATCAAAGATGGAGAGGCAGTTGCTAACTTAATTATTCACACCAATACAAATAAATGATGATAATCAACGATTTTGAAGAGTACTGAGTAGAGTGGAGTGATAATAGACAAAGAGTGGAGTGTTAATAGGCAAAGAAAAAGTTTTTCATATTAAGGTTCTATTTAAAATGAGTTTAATCATATATGTATTTAATAAATACACCAGGGAGATATTCCTATAAGTATATAAACTATTACAAGTCACAATCTCAAAACTTAAAAGTAATATACTATCCTCTTAGTGAATGTGGTATAATCATATTTTATTAATATTATATAACATATTATAAACTTCTTATTGAATAATCATATTTTTTTAAACTTAGAAGTTAGCGAATCTTATTCCTTGTTTCAAAGAACAATAATTTATTAAAAATAAAACAATCTTGACTGTCCCTCAGAAAGTCTGTATTATTTTTAATGACCAGATTTGAATACATTATTGCCATAATGTTTATAAGTTATTCATTTAGAAGAATGTCTATTGCATAACAAAAACATATGATCGAAGCCTATTCTAACAAGTCTGACTACAACACATTTCCTGATCTATACACTCAGCTACAGCTGTGTGTATAAACCTAACAAAAAAAACACAATGATTTCTTTATCAATTTACCCTCGAAAATATTGATCATCTTTACCTGAACTCGAGGATCCAGTGCTTCCGAACATTCCGCCGCGCAATCGGTCATTGTCTCCTCAAAACAAAAGCATTTTAGCGAAATTTACATTCCATAAAAGCTTTTGTCGCCTTGTTAATTTTGTTCCTTTGAAAAATAAACATTAACATCGCTGAAAGAAAAAGAAAAAAACTATGTTGTCGCACAATATTTAATACCGCCCGCTACAAAAGCACAGATTAAATATGAACACAAAATTAAATGTCACTGACTTAATTTTTAATATAGATAAATAATAATTTAATCGTACTAATTATTTTTAGTAGAATAAAACCTGAATCTGAGACCGTTGATGTACATTTACTTAATATTCATCGATACGAATGATAGGGGAACTAGACGCTACTAAGAGATCACATGAATAAAAACGGTAGAAGGAGGCTTAAAAGATTTGCTACTGTTAATAAAACGGCTCGTGTATCTGTGAGTTAAGTTTAGAGAATTTTGAAAACTTATCTTCACTCAAGTGTTGCTTGTCTAACTACATCACATCACATCATCACATCAACAGCCTTTAATAGTCCACTGCTGGACATAGGCCTCTCCTTGGAAAGGAGGTTTTGGCCTACTATACCACGCTGGCCAGACGGCACTACAACACTACTTTATTCATCTACATCTACATGTCTATGTCTACATTCAAATTCATTCAATCAGTCAGTTTGTGTTCAGTCAGTCGTTTCCAGGATTTGTCATTAATCAAGTGACATAATAAAAAATCTAAAAAATGGTATTTACAAGGATTCTTATTTGAATTATATATTTAGTGTGTTGTGACATCTTTAATACTTGCAATGTATTTCAGGCGACTGAAGTGGAAGATACCATCAAGCGAATTCAGGCACACAAAGGTGTCATGGGCGTAATAATTGTTAACCACGAAGGTTTGGTCGATTTTCTTCTATTTCCATGGTTACTTTAACTATCTAGTAGTTTCAACCGTATCTCCACCACCGATCAATACTATAAGTTTTGAAAAATTGTACATATTTATTCTGCCAAATGGTCTCAGTGTTGATGCAGATACTTTCTAATTTCAGGCATTCCCATCAAAAGTTCTCTGGACAACGCAACATCTGTGCTTTATTCGGGTCTTATTGGTCAGCTTACTGAAAAAGCAAAGAATGTAGTGCGGGAAATGGTAATAATATAGTACTTAATTTTGAAGTGAACACATACATTCAACATTTTGTTCACTTATCTCTTAATTTAACAGGATGAAAGTTAGTGGCTTGTGATAGAGTTGTGAGAGGCTTGTCAGAGAGTGTGAGTTAGTGGCTTCTAATGATATTATAATATTATAAATAAACATGAAAGTGAAAGCCATCTGTTACATTTTTACACCACTGCACCAATTTCTATGAATTGTTGTATAGAGATTATGGCCAGAAAAAACAAATGGGTATTCTTTATTATGTATTAAACATTAACATGTCAAATTATAAAGTTCCTTCATAAATAATAGATATTTTTTTTCACATCCACATCCACTTCCAAACACAAAGGCCCATCCTTAAAAAGATTTTGGCCTACTATATGATGCTGTCCAGACAGGATAGTATAGGGTTTGTCAAGTTTTCCTTCTCTTTACAGTGTTGTGGTCCTGCATAGTTAGCTCTCTTAGTTGGCTCTTATGACACCCAAGGGATGAATAGGGGTGGTGACATTCGCAATCCGTCACCACACATATTTCTTATTACATCATTCAAAGTTTAAGTTACAAGTTTGGACACTTAAAATATTTTAATGTGAAGGTCTTTCAGTAAATACAATTAAATTTATGTTAACATTTCAGGATACCACAAATGAGCTGACATTCTTGAGATTAAGAAGTAGAAGACATGAGATCCTCATCGCCCCTGACCGTGAATTCATACTGATTGTCATACAAAACACATCAGATTAGTAGACATACACACAGCAGCAAATCTTTATTACATAATTATAATCCTTAAACAAAAACAAAATTAAGCATAATTTATTATGTAATGGTCTGTTGCTGCATATTGGCATCATAAGTTATTAGTATTGGCACCCTAATACACATATATTAAGTTATTATAAGATTCATAAGCTTTTTGTAAGTATTTTAAGATAAAAGTGGTGAAACAGAAACAAGCGTCATGAATTTATTTTTCTAATGTCAAATTTTTTATTTCGAGGGTATGCTTGTTTGGATAACTTACATATGACATACTAGTTAATAGGAATAATATTATTATTAAGTTGCTGTAGCTGTGCACTTGAAAATCAATTGCTATTTGACTTGTACCAGGTAGTTGTACACTTACTTCTACATAAAGTAATAAGTGAAGTAGTGGCCAAATTATGGTTACTGGTTTTACTGCTTTTTCTTTTTGGTGACGGGATTGAAAATCGCTGCGGATATCCGGCTTCTTGGGGATGCAGCAGCCAGAAGTAAGTAGTGTTTATACTAAAAACTACTTCCATAGCCGGCTTAGGCGCCCTACTCCGGGAAGAACTAGAATCATGTGATTTCAAGCCCCCGCCGACGTCAGATCGACGCCGCACTTAACTAGGACTTATCCCAGGTGGCTTTTCTCTACCTCACTTATCACTTAATGTTGCAGCTCGATCGCATTTTGCATCCTATCCCCTAGTAATTAATTAATCTGCCACAAGAGGTCCCATTCTGGCGGCCCGAGGTTATTTGACAGAAATATATAAAATTTAACCGGTTATACTACTTTGTCAAATAAGTTTCTTGAATAAACCAGAAGAAAATCTAAGACAGTGTTAGTGTTTATGGAACAAATACATGTTTAGAGTTACATACTTATGTATACAACTAGTCATTCGTGTAGAAGCAAGTGTATGAGTATTTGAAACAAGGTGCTATGTTAGGTGTTAGGTTAGAATACTAAACACGCCATTGTATATTTGTGTAATAAAATAATCTAGAAGACTTTGTTTTTGTACTCCCACAATGTATTTATTTGTTTCTTAATAAAACACAATAAATATTTAAAACACACTTGTATTCTTTCCATCTCATCCTATGGGAAGGGGGGGGGGGGGGAGTGTACCTACAATTATCAATTACCAAAATTGTCTTTTTAGGGCATACATCTTTAAGAATTTTTCGTAAAATAGGTTATGTTTACGTCAAAGTTTGTAAAAAAATGATGTGCACATGTGTTTTTGTTAAGTAAAAATGATCTTAACAACGGTTAAGAAAATGGCCGCGTTTGTCGCCCGAAAATTATGATTTTTGAATTTTTTGTTAGCTCAGTGTTTATATTTCGTGTGTATTATATTTATTTTTTGTAATGTAATAACAAGTAAAAATGTTAAAAAAAAAACGGTTGTCTGTAAAGTCGGTTTACTGACGATAAATGAACGTGACAACGTCATAAGAAAATACTGATGGAATGGTTGCATTTTTCAAAAGAAAATTTTAATTACGCTTCATACTTGACGAAAACATGTAAATGTATTATTGTAAAGCAGCTGTCAACGCGGACGCATCGCTGACTCAAGTAGGAGAGAGACAGATGTCAAAAGCTGCCGAACGCGGAGGCCGATTGTGCCTCTTTGTCGCTCGTTCCGCGCGCCTTAAATGGAACGCCTCAGAGCGAGGTAACGCCGCATGCGTCATGTGCAGCCGGCTCCATCGAATTATAAGACGTTGTCACGTCAAAAAGAGACGTGCATATTCCGTATTGTAACGTTTATTAATAGCATTGATACAATGGTGACTTAAGTAATTTAAATAAATGCAGTTTGTCACCATAACCTGTAAGAAATTAAACGACATAGAGATCCACCTAAGCCATGTCCTCGTCAACCGCTGGCGAACGGATGGGAAGAACTGGCAAAGGTGGCGCCCCTTGGATGATTCGTCCCAACGTTCTTGAAATTCGTCTCTTTATTCATTATAGACATCGGACTGCTGTTGAGAAGCAATCTAGTGATTTTTATCACGATCTCCAAAAATCACCATGTTTCCTCGTACATCGCTACACGTCAAAGGGCTCGCTTGATGTAAAATTCTAAAAACCTATTATTGAAACTTTGTGACAGACATTTAGATGTTATAGATATAGTTGCCCGGTTTCTGTAATTTTTAAATGTGTTTCACTTACAGTTAAGTTATTTCAAAAATTTCCTGCTTAGGTAACGTTTGCAACGTTACTGCAGCCAGACATTTTCTTTTTACACGCTTTATATTAGTTTAATGGGAATATTGAAATAAATATTAACTAAATAAATAAATTGTTATCTAGACGAGGTAAATGTTACAAATTATTTTGTATTTGTATCTTCTTCTGCTGCGAAGTTATTCGACATCTTGCTGGAGTAACGTTTGTGGGTTTGCTGGATCTCTGAATTCTAACCAGCTTTTGTACATATTTCTTAAGAATTAGTTTAAATTTGTTTAACAATAAAAACAAAAATAATGCCCCGTTTAAAGATTATGTAATTAAGTATGAAAACACATCGTTACGTCCTAACACTTTGAATAAGACCTCTAAAAACTTACATACTACAGCGCCATCTAACGAAGACACACCGAACCACGGAGTAACTCCTGAATAAGCAATGCTTATCCTGTATCGCGATATGAAAAAATCGTTAGAGGGACAATCCACCCGTTCCTCCACAATGGTGACCCCGACGTGATTGGAAGCAGCCTTCCAGAAGCAACCCCGCAGCAGCACTATCGCCACCATCAGTCAGTCAGTCAGCAACCTCGGCCACAACAGGGGGATACCAACTGCAGGTAGCGATCGCTTCAGCCTGGTTACCCTACGGCTTCATCAGCGTCTAAGCTGCCCGCCACTACGAGCAACCGCCCCGACTCACTGGGGACTTCACCGCAGCATCGCACACCGCATGCAATACCAACTCACTGGGATCGGCGGACTTCAGTCACGACTTACTGGGACTAGCGGCACTCAGTTCCGACTTACTGGAACTATTCACTATTGGCACTGACACGCTCCACATAGACAGTTGACTTATAAGGATATCGACCTCTGGTCTTGGAGGGGAGTGATGTGGCGTCTCCCACATACAAAGAAACAAAATCATACTACAGCACCATCTAACGAAAACACACCGAACTACGGAGTAAATCCTGAATGAGCAATGCCAATCCTGTATCGCGACATAAAAAATTCTCTCGCCGACCAGCATATTTACAACTTTCCGACATCGACCGTAGGGCGGCGACCCGCCAGGTGATCACCTCGCAAGGTCGGAGGATCCTCCCTTTGTGTTGGAGGACACGACACCCGTTCTTCGTACATAACACGACCGAGTTCGGTATGTATTTATTTATTTATTTATATAATTTAAGGATCTCCAACAAAGGATATACACAGTTGTTATGACTTACTATAAATACTTCACAGTAATCTTTCGGTGTACTCCCTCAATTATAGGAGACCACAGCATGCAAACATTAGTGACAAGTTATAATAAACCTATATTTTACATACAGATCGCACATAAATCTAAATCATGAACACAATTTTGATGTAACTATAGATAGCTAATTAACATGTAGGCAGACAATATGACTAACATATCACTGCAAAATATTATTTAAGGAGCCTTTAAATTTTAAAAATGAGATACTGAGATCTAGGTTTTTAGTTTTAGACAACACATTATATTGCCTGCAGAGCCTAGGCACAGCGGCGTAGTGACCCAGGTTTGACTTTGCTGAGCGAACAGAAAATAGACTGTAGGCTCCTATCCTTGGTAGACGTGATGGTACTTTTATAGATAGGCTACTCATAAGCTCGTTGCAGTCTGTGTAACCATTGTACAACTTATAAAGAAAAATAGCATCAAGGTTACTGTGTTCGCATATTGTAGTGTTTGAGCCTTTCGGTGTAGCTAGATAGTGTCTTAGCTTTATAGTCACTGTAGCAAAGGTGATAAAGAAACCGTTTTTGGACACTTTCAAGACGTTTATTGTACACTTCGTAATGGGGATTCCATACAATGGAGTTGTATTCCAACATTGGTCTAACTAGGGAATTAGATAAAAATATCTTAGTGCATGGGTTTTTGAAATCTTTACTACTGCGCAATACAAATCCCAGCAACTTAAACGCTCTCGCGACTGTATTAAGAATATGTATGTCAAATGTTAAACTTGCATCTATTGTAATGCCCAGGTCCCGAACTTTGTTTGTACTTTGAAGTGGAATACCATCAATGCAATACTTGTAGCCTTGTTTGTTTTTATTTCGTGTGAATTGTATGTGGAAGCATTTATCTATATTTAATGACATTCTATTATCGTTGCACCAGTGCGACAGTGAATCTATGTCAGCTTGTAACATTATAGCATCTGAATCCCTCCGTATGGGTTTCATAATTTTAAGATCATCTGTGTAAAGATAGAAGTTGCAATGTTTGAAGCATGAAGATATATCATTAATGAAAAGGTTAAACAGAATAGGGCCCAAATGCGATCCCTGCGGCACACCCGAAATCGCTGTATATTTATCAGAAGAGTACCCGTTCACTACTACTACTGACACTCTTCCGCAAAGATAAGATTCAAACCACCGTATCATAGGGTCCCCTACTCTATTTAATTTTTGAAGGAGGATTAAATGGTCTACTTTGTCAAAAGCTTTACTAAAATCCGTGTAGATGGCATCCACAGGTACACGTTCATCTACACTCTCGCATAAACGGTTTGTAAAGCTGATCAGATTAGTTACTGTGGATCTAGATTTTATGAATCCATGCTGAAATTCCGTGACATGCTGTTTCAAGTACCAAGAAAAGCGCTGTGTGACAAGCTTTTCAAACGTCTTACCAAAAATAGCTAGAATTGAAATTGGTCTATAATTAGTTATCAGGCTTTTATCGCCTGATTTAAAAATGGGTACAACCAGGGCTTCTTACCGACGTCTGAAT